CTCCGTTTTCAAGCAAAAAGCCAAAAAGTTGCACCGTTCGCAAAAACTTGCAGTTTTCGACTTTTTCGGGCAATTTCCGAAAAACAAATCAGTCTTCCACCTATCGGGCAAAAAATCAAAAACTGTTACGTTTAGCCAGCAGCTGCAACTTCCACCCATCGGGCAAACAATCAAGAAGTTGTAGCCATTTGCAAAAACTTCAACTTGTCAATCAACTTTCGCAAAATTTCACTTTTCGCCAACAAGTCGAAAAAAACATTCGCTTTTTCGCAAAAAGATGCACTCTTCGCCAACAAAAATCCGGCTTTCAACCTTTCGGTAGTTTTCGGAAAAAAATGTTCAAAAAACCGAACGCAGGGGCGATGCACGCGCGCCATAGTCAAAGTCGTGAAGAACGACGAAGACTTTTGTTTGCTTCCATTTCTGCTACGAGTACTACCCCTGCTTAATTTCCTCATCACTGCTACTACTACCACCACCAGTTTCTACCGAAAAAAAAGCTGTTGCTGCTACGCCTCACGTCCCACCGAGTGGGCGTGACACCTCCTACTACTACTACTACTACTACTAGTACTACTTCTACTACCACTACTGCTCAATAGGAAACAATCAAAGATTTTAGGGCGCAATACAGGTATCATTGCAAACTTAAGTTACCTCAGGGTTGGGAAGAAGGGCTTCTCAGTTTTAGTCGCAAATGGTTTTGGAGCTTGCATTGGGTGTCGGGGCTTGGGCTTCGACTCTTGTTGGGACGTTTCGACCTTTCGGCATTTTTCGACTTTTGACTTTTCCGGGACACTGGGAGTTTTGACTTTTTGGCTTGTTTAATGCTTTTCAGGATCTTTCCGACTTTTCGAATTCGCTGGGACTTTTTGGGCTCTTTTTTGTACTTTTCGAACTTTTTTTTTTGAGTTTTAAGATTTTCGATTCTTCGGGGACGCTATGATGTTTTGTGTGTTGTTTTTGTACGTTTCGTTTTTCGTGACTAAAGCCGAAATTGTCGAGCCAAATTGCTCAACAAGCGCCTTTCGACGTGCGTGTCGTCGCTAACTTGTCATCTTTTCGGGCAATGTTTCCGTTTCTCCGGATAGATCGGTCAACAGCCCTTTGCAAGCACAGCCAATGAACACCCCATTCAGTTGTGGCTAGGAGCATCCGTTAAGATCCGAAACCTTTGCGAACGAATTGGTAGGAATTGGGTGCTGCCTCTCGAGAGCAGCGGTGATCCCCAATAATGTTGGCTTTAGGGGCTTGCTGTTGACGTCCAACATCTACGAACGCCCATGTCGTCCAAGATCTCTGAAACCCCATGTCATTCCCCTCCCGCCAATCTGCGCCGCCTCTTAGAGCCCCCACTCCTATATCCCCCCAAGATCGCTGCCCCTTTCTTCTCTGAAAGTTTCATATAGAATGCTAAATATCAGCTTCTGCAGCAATGATGAGCAAACCACCATGTACAGTATCCATCCACCCAATCACATGGCTAAGAATGCAAAACCTCACGAGATGAAATCACTCAATTCATCATATTTTTCACGCACTTGAGCCACGTGATCAATCCATGTGAGAATGCATCACTCATGACATCACAATGTCATCTTGCGGGGATAGTGCAATGGGACAAACTTCTCTAGACACTTCCTTGGACAGTGAACTCTGTTCATTGGCCACAATAGCTCGAATCAATGTCGAACAACAATATTCACATCAGATCTCAAAATTGCAATCAGCAAGCATTTTACACAAGCAAGGAATCATTCAATCACACTTGGATGCAAGGAACGTGTACAATTCTCACCCAGATCGGTCGGCTCACTTGTGCAATGGACTCAGAACAGTCCGCCCATGTCAACTGCAGAAACCTGACACACAACGACCGAATTCACGTTCAATCCCTTCTAGCAATGCTGCGGTTGTTCACTCAATGGCGTTTGCCAGGAAGACCGGTCAATGTGGCCCATTTCTGACCAGATCTGTACCATAATGTTTCAAAGCAAAGCCTCTGTAATGGTTCAATTGCTTCAGGATATGATGAATCCCGGACGTGTCTTCTCATCAACTGTACACGATCTCAATCGCCATGATAACGATCATTACAAATGCCCAGAGCTTCGCCCAGAACTCCGCTACCATGAAAACTCCATACACAATACCAGATATCAATTTCTGCACCAATGATGCGCAAATCACCATGCGCAGTACCTTGATCTCAGTTCACCCAAACGCGCAGCACATCCAAATGCACACAAGATGCAATCAACAATCAACCACCCGTACACCAACCCAAAAAGCTAGGCGGAGCAGAATGTAAACTCAAAGAGTGCATTGCGCTGGCCACCCAGCTGGCCAAGGTGGCCAACATCAGCATCGTTGGGGGTCAGCTTCTGCTTCTCCAGGGTTCGCGCTACAGGGTTCGGGAGCATTGGATGCTGACCTGACGGGATTGACCGGGCTACCTGGGCTTGATGCGTGTTTTTGCGGCTGCGTACAATTTGCTGGTTGCTTTTGACATGGTATTTTGATAAGCTTGCAAGGTTTATGTACTGTGTCATGCAAGCCTTATGGAGTTCTCTTGATGGTGTTCGAGACTATGGCGTTTCGTTCGAATGCGCTCTCATGTTATAGTACGCTCTGCACTTGCCCAGACCCTCCCCCAACTTACGGCCTCTCCCTCGACGTGTAGCGTTCTGCACCTCCCCCTCTGCGCGAGCCGGCCGTCCGACTCGGGCCCGTTATCATCCAAATACGTTCTGCACCTCCCCAAACCCTGGCAATCCAACTCGGGTCCCGCTCTCTCGTCCCCTTTAAAGCTGTATGTTCTGCACCTCCCCAGACCCTCTGCATGACCCAGCTGTTCCACTTGAGTCCCGCGCTCTCTCTCTGCCCTTGCAAGCCCTCGGTGTGAGCAGGCCGTCCAACTTGGGTCCCAGTCTCTCGTCCCAAGCAGTAGGTTCTGTATACACATCGTTGCATATTGACGTATGACGGTGAAGCGCACTGGGGGATTTGTCGCCGGTCCGGCATCAACAGCACGCAGCAAATTGGAGGCTATTGTTTGTTGCAATGGCATGGGGCTCAGGCATTGATTCGCTCTTGCGCAGACCAGTTCTCAGTGATGCGCTGTTGGTCGGGCGCTCGCACAGGTTATACTAACTCTGACCCAAACCTTCCCAATTAAGGGACTGGATAACCCTTTACCAGAATCCAGAGAATAGAAAAGAGATTTATAAGGAAACGAAGAGAAGAGGAAACGGTGTGCCATGTCGAATGTCGGAACAATTCCGGGCAAGGATTGTCGAGGGAGCCGTCAGGCCCAGAATAAATCAGGATTGTAGAGAATTCTCTCTTCTCGTAAGAGAGATGAAGTGAATCGTGATGCAAATGCTTCAGCGGTACGTAAATGAAAGCTTGGGAGAGCTGCTAAATCAGGGTTTGCAATTGAAACTGCTGTTGCCAGACTGCATACTGCTACTGCTTTTGTGCAGCTGAGGCTCAGATGGATGGAAAGGTGGGGAGAGTGCCACATCGACACCTCATGAGCTGCTAAACACGAGATGCTTCAAAGCGCTTTGACGCGGCCCCCAAGCCTCCAGATGTCACCAGAAGTTCGGCCAGCAAGGCCTCGCTCGAGCCCTTCCGGTGCAAATCCAAGACGTAGCGCCGGCACGGGGGGGATCCGTTCGCTTTGCCGGCGTTCGCTTTTCCCGCGCAAGCCTGTAGGGCCTGGTGCTGCAGTACACAGCCATTTCTCTCCTTCCCTGCTTCCCAACAGCAGTCAACAGCCGGGGTTTCCACCAATACTTTGGCACTGCCAGCCCCGAGACCTTGAACAATCCTTGGTGTAACCAAACATATTTCCAGTTAAGTCGTTTCTCAGCCTTCAAATACCCTTGAGCTCCCCGGCCGGGGCTGCTGGAGTGGTGCGCCTGAGACTTCTTAAAGAAGCAGAGGTTACAGTGTATAGTGAGCGTGGACAGCTGGGTCCAGTGACCGTTTACAAAGAGGGGAAAGATGCTTTCTGCCTCGATCGAAAGCTCCTTCACCTAAAGAAAGGAAGAAACAGGTGACGCCGAAAAAGAAGTTCCTGCACTTCTTCTTTGTTTTTTCTGCATTGCTGGCCTGCTCCGGGCAGTCCACGACATAGAAACGGGTCTCTGGTGCGAAGGCCGGCCTGAGAGAAAGGGAGACAGGGAGAAATCAAAACACAACTTCTGGAGCACGGCTGGAGCTGACAGCTCACGGGCTCGATCTGTAAAGCCTCGTTGGGTGCTTCGCATCTGAGGCTGCCCTCTTCTCAGCTTACCCCCGCTTTTGGCCGCTTTTGGCCGCTTGGCTCCAAGCCCGGATGGACCCCAAAGCTCCCTCTCCTGCCTCTCCCGCAGAAACTGCTTTGAAGGCCTCAGAAGGTTTGTGGAACAGATTGCATCAGCTCATTCAGAAGAACATTCAGTCTCCAGCCAAAGCGAAGAAAAGTCCGCCTACACAAAGTGCTTCTGACCGCGAACATCTGCAAACCCCGACACTCAGTGCTTCCAGGCCCCGAAAGCACAATTTTGTCATAACGCGCGGCACCTGCCAGCAGCGGATGCGCAAAAGCGAGCGGCGAGGGAGCAAGCAGCTTAAGTCTTAAGCACGAAAAGGTCCCCTCGGTGCCTCCAAATCTGCAGAACAGCAGGCATGCCTGGCATGCCTAGCATGCCTGGCCACATTCCCCTTCAAGGCCAGTCCCACATTCCCCGCCGCATACCATGGCCTTGAGCCCACAGGATGATGGATTGAACTCACAGTGACCATGAGTGGCCTGTGTATCTCGCCCACTTCTTTGAGCATGTTGCGGATCAGACTAGGTTGTTAAAGACACCTACAAGGTGAAACTCAGGTGAAACTCCCAGAAGCACCACACTGCAGAGGCTCTCGAACCCTTAGGGTCGCCTGGAAGTGCTCTGCATGCATCCGCCTTCTGAAGCTCTGATGCACTCTAGGGTCCGTGCCATGCCCGGCTACGACTCTGGGGATTCACCGATCCATCTGCGCATGAAAACAATCTAGCCGACAAGAAGCCAGGCAAGAGGAGATGGGCTGCGTGCCTTATCCGCTTTCCATCCATCCACTCGCCATTGCGTTTCTCCTGCTTTGGCGCGGAGGACCTGACATGGAGGTTTCAGGCTTCAGGCAGGTGTTCTGAGAGGGGCTGTCAGTCGCTCGCCATCCAATACCGTGCTGCTTTCCGTTTCTCCACTGACCATCATACCTTGCTCAAAGAATGCCAAGGACTTCAACCAGCTGGAAGCTGCTGCGGTCCCGACTCTCTTCCATCAGGCCACTTGAAGATTCCATAGCCATGCTGGCGAGAAGATGCGAGAAGCTTGATGGTGGGCAGGAGAAACGGGGCATGTGAAGAAGCAGAAACGGGCCTTGATGTCATGGATGTACTCTCCCTCATAGAGCCTCCCATCTGGCCTAACAAAGCGAGCCAAGCGAGCGTGAAGCGAGTGCGATCAGCATGTTGTGCGCTTTGCTTGCAGAGGACCAGCTGAACTTGCCATGGCCATGCATTCGGTTTCCTGCCAATCTCACACACAAAATCAACAAAGCTTTGGGTGTTGTCTGCTCTGCCGCTAGTCCTTCCCACTGCCCCGCATACTTGCGCCCATCACCCCAGGAGTAGATGCCGGAGCCGTGGATGTCGTTGTTCAAGAACTGACCCCAAGTAAGGTAAGCGGAAGAATCCTCCATTCAGTTTGGCGGCCTCTCCATCATAGGAAGAGCCGTCAGCCCAGGTGAAACTTAGGGTTTGCTCTCACACAGACTCATAGACTCTCCAAGACCACTAGATTTTACACCTAAGACATCCTAACAGCTTTTAGGTCACGGGCTATCCTTTGCCGTGCTTCTTGCCAGCCTGATACCTCAGGGACTCTGTAACCCATGAAATCCATTTCCACAAAGAGCAGTTTCCAGAGACCATCGCGTTCCCTCGTACCGGGCACCTCGGGTGCGGAGCTTCAAACACTCTCTCACAAAAGTGTGAGGAGAAGAAAGCAACACCCCACAAGGCAGGTGCCATCCACCCAGTGCTCCTCCCAGGGCGAGGGACGAGTGGACACGTGGACGCTTTGCGTTTGGCTAAAGTTAGTTAAGACTTTGCACACACGTCTCAGCTCAGCAACTCTGCTCATCACACATGTCGGTCCACACCATGGCCATGCTGCCGATCATACTCCCACTGCCCCTCGTACTTGGACCTTTCACTGCGTTGCAATTGCGTTGCAATTGGCCTCAAGAGCTTTTAAGTCTTCACAGTTTCCAGTTTCGGGGTCCAGGCCCATCGGCGTGGCTGTAGGTTCCTTGCCTCGGGGAACCAAAATCAAAATGTCGTGCAGCAAACCCCCACAGCGACTCTCACACAGATCCTACGTCTCTGACCCTTGCTTTTCGTCCTTTCGTGTTCCCTTGGCTTCCTGCCCGTGGGCCGTGTCTCCGAACCACTCTCCTTCGTAGACGTCGCCGTCTGCATGCACGAACCTCAAAGCTGAACCACAAGGCCAGGGGGGATTTTTTTAGGTTTCTGTTGCTTTTTTTTCAAGCTTCACAGCTCTGAAGGCTCCGCCGGCCCCAACCGTGCGCCTTATCGGCCTTCCACTGCCCTGACGAGCTGAGCTCACGAGCTGAGCTGAGCTGAGTGCACAGTGCACTGACTTCCTGTACAAAAAGAGAGCACCCCGACCTTCGTAGCGAGCCCCGTCGGGCCACACCTGAAGAGAAGGGGAACAGCCAAAGCAAAAGCAAACCAGATGCAAAACGCCCACCCTTTCCATGCAGCATGCTGCAGCATGCTCATTCTTTTCTGTTCCGCTCAGATGCCTGGACACCGTAGCCTTCCCGCTGCTCGCCCAGCCAGCTGCCTGTGTAGGCGGCACCGTGGTCGTAGACGTGCGTAGGCCTCCAATTGAAGCCTCTAGAAGCCTAAATTACAATGATACACGCACGAGTTAACACTTACACCACGAGCTTCCGGAGTTTAAGTGCCTCAGGTGCTTGCGAGCTTGGCAACCGGCCTCTCTTCACCTGCAGGCTTCTCGTGTGGGAAGGCCAGTGAGAGTGGCATTCCCACATCCTTCACGGCCTGTGCTGATCGGATCCAACTTCAACTGCCGTGGGGGACTGGGCAAGACTTGAGCTTTAGGCAGACTCGCACTCGACTATCCGGCCATTTGCATCTTGGCCTTGCAGCTTCTTTACCACACATTGCAGAATGCACAGTTCGCAAAATCTGGGCAATCTTGCAGCAGCCAGTGTTGCCTCAGTTCACAGGCTCCAAACTCAAAGCGAGGAACTCCAGAAGAGGCTGAGTACTGGCTGAGTTGCAGGAGGCTCCCATGGCCAGAGCTCAACTGCACCGAGCCATGCGCAGGCATGCGCCGCCATGCTGAGCCAATGCGTAAACTTGTTCAATGAAAGTGCTTCACTCGACCACAGGGAAGATCGGCCTTACACAGCTTTCGCTTTCTCTTGCTGCAAGCAATGAGTTCAGCAACCTCTTCTATGTACAGTCTGAAGAGGTGTCCCCGAAGCGGCACGTACTGGGATGCTTGGATGCTGGGATGGGAGTTGAGACTCAGCCAAGGCCCTGCAGAGGCTTTGCTCTCAGCATGTCAGCAGAATTTCCAGCGATTGCCGCAGGTCAAGCCTTGAGAAAGGCAAAAGCTTTTGCAAGCTTTGCACAACGCAAATGCCCGGAACATCGCACATCGCAGTCTCAGCATCCCACATGTGACGAATGTGGTCATTGGCTCGTCCGAAGACCTTCAAACGAAGCTCAGCCAAGTATTTCTCATTTCCTCCCTAGATCCAAAGCAAAAATGCCTTGTCTGCATCTGGAAATACGTGGTCTTGTTGCCCTGTTGGCGATTCTTTGGGACATTGTGCATGACGCCTAAAGGAGTATCTCTACAGCTTCTACCTCGCGCTGAACGCACATTCGATGCAGAATGGTGTGCTGTGTTAAAGGCACGTCGGGCAGAGGCCCCTTTGGGGATGCTGGAAGTGGAAACGAAAAAGCTCTGTGCCCTGCCGCGCCTCACGTTCCGCACTGTTAACTTCTTGGGTGCCCCGCTTGGGCTATCACTTGCTGGAAACTTGGTTGCCTCGCTGGGCGGTTCACTTTTCAAGTTCTGCTGGCTATTTGGGCCCAGCACATCGTGCGGGATGCTGCCGGCTATCTGGGTGCTGCTGGTTAAGGAAGCCCTGACACGAAATTACAGGCCTAAACTCAAAACCCCAAACCTACACCCTGAACTGAGCGAGCCAGGGCCGTCGAGCCAGTCGAGGCCGCTCCGGAGCCAAAAGCCCTCCCGCAGGCACAGGTCGCTGGCGAGTAACCCGTCACTTCGCAATAGAATCAAATGAGGTTGACATCGCAATGAAAACGGGAACTTTGTAGGAGTCCGCAAATGGTCAAAACCCCCGCCAGGACAGGTGCAAGCCGAGGTCTATGTGGGGTTGAGAAGGGTGCTTCGGGGTAACTTCTCGGACTCTTCATGGCTGTGTACACTTACTAGCATGCGCCGGAATCGACCGTGTCAGGACAGGCAGCCAAGACAGCGGGACTCAACGGCGGAGGAGGGCAGAGAAGAGCTGGAGTTGACGGGAACACAGCGAGGCGAGGCGTGGGCGGGGGCAGGCAGCAACCAGGGCGGGGCTCGTGGGCCCCCGACCTGGCCTGGGCAGAAGCTTGCGCCCGGCGTCGGAGCGCCGCTCGGGCATGGTGGCTACGGAGCAGGACCGAGAGCTCCTGGACAAGGTCGGCATGCAAAAGCCCAGCATCCGTGCCCGTGCGGGCAGCGAGGGTTTTGGAAGCCGAGGGCTCCCAGGCAAGAGGTACAAAGCGCACCCCCTGCGCGGCGCACACCTGGCTGGTGTTCAAGTACACCGCTTTCACAGCAGCATACTGGGACGCGGCAGCAAGGGCCAAATGCCTGCCAATTGGGGCTTCAATGCCTCGCCAGGGGCCTCAACCTGTCCCACTTCAAGGCTTTCAGGGAGGTTCAAGGACCTAGTGCTCTGGACCATGGCGGGATTGGCATTTCATACCCTCCAAAGCTTCTTGCAAGGGCAGCCGTCCAGCCAAACTGAAATCCGAACCTTGCACCCGTCTGGTCTGGACAGGTCCAGCTGGTTCAAGGCTTGCAGGCCTTTAAGCAAGAAACCTCGAGCCGGTCTAGACAGGTGCAAAAATCAAATAAGAAGACAGGCGCGCGAGCAGAGTTCGAGAGCACGCTAAACCCGTAAAAGGTTGAGAGGGTGAGGCCAGGGTGGAGCGCCAGAGGGGGTGGGCTCCTGCAGGTCGGGGTGTGCGCCTGGGTGCCTCTAGCACCAGCGCACCCCCTCACTAAGGGAGCCCCAAATAGGAACTCCACTAGACTATGGCGCCGTCGGGAGTGTATTTCCTTCGAAGCCGCTGAGGATAATGTTCCTCAGAGCCTACAATTCTAGTATATCCTAGATATATCTATATATATATATATGCTCACACCCCCCCCCATGAGATTGGCCCGCGCGTGGATTACCTCACAAAGTGTACAGTAAGCAGGCAACCGGGCGTCTCTACCTTTTGCAACTCGCTGTGCGCATTGCTCGAGCATATAGTCCCTAAAACCTTGAGAGCAGTAACAGCAGCGTGATATACAGGCTTGTTACA